TTGTTTGTTTGTTTGTTTTTTAAGTGATCCCGAACCAGAAAGGAGGAGTAAGTTCACCTCAATCCATCTTATTTTTAAATCGTTAGCTTTATTACTTTTCTTGGTTTTCTTAATAATTTCCTAATCTTCATCGTGGTTTCTCTGTAGGTCCTACACCTGTGCAGGAAGAAGCTGCTATTGCGTAAGTAGCCCAAAACTAACACACACACTCACCCAAAAAAATCCCAGACATGTTGCTCAACCAGTAGACAGACAGGTTCCCTTCTTTTTTTTGGTTTGGAATGAGCTGCTAAGCGTGAAAAGATGTGAACGTGTTAGTTTATGCGTCTAAGAGAAAATCAGGTGGACTGGAAAATCCGTCCGATCCTCCCAACAAGCTGGGTCCTGTTCAGATGAAGACGCATTGTGATCAAAACACTGCGACTAGGCATGGCCTGGTTATACGGCTTAAGGTCCGCCTTTTTAAGAAAGGGTTTTGGCTTCAGGTTGGGTTTGAAACTTTCCATCAAACGATTTCGGTTTTTAATTCAGATTAACTCAGAAATGAGCCCTGATCAGTTCAGCCAGTAATTATTTGAACACACGAGGTCACTCATGGACCGCGTCTATAGGGCATTGGATTTTTAATAAGTGGACTAAAGATGAAAAACAACCCGGTGATGTCACCGTAAAAGCAACATACCCCACCCTGATGTGGTGGAACATCAAATTTTAACCCCTTAATAGACACACACTACATAAAACAGGTGTGTGTGTGTAGTGAGTAATATACATATTTCATAGACAGTAAGACAAGACTTTATAATCCACAGGCTGCAGCTCATTTCCTCCTATTAAGACCCAAGTTAGAGCTGTTTTTTGTTAGAATACGCAGCGAAATAACAGCATTACTCAGGTTCAATGGAGCAACACCCATCACTATTATAAAGCCGATGCTAGGCAAGGCAGGGTTATTTTTGTAGCCCAATTCCTTCACAGGGTAATTCCAGGCTTAAAGGAGTAGAACTAAGACATACATCAAAAACATGGAATGTAAATGAAAAAAACACATCGTATGAAAACAAACATTGTATTGCAAATTTAGACTAACGAAATGATAAAGCAGTCTTTATGGTGAGTGGTCATAAACAGGAATGTTTTCAGTCCTGGTACAAAGAAGCCAACAGTTTCTGCACATCTCAGGTTTTCAGGCAGCTGAGGATCAGAGAAACTAAACACTGCTTTCTACTGTTTACTGTGAGTTCATGTTCTTAGGAGAGTAAGTGAACGTCTCAGATGACTTGAGGGGCCGACGTGGTTCATACCTGATCAGAAACTCTGAAATGTGTCGAGGTCGAGGTCAGTCAGTGGCCTACCCAACAGCGAAAGGTTTTAAGTTCAATCTATGACAAAGAGAGTTTGAGCAGTAAAACTGTCGTTTTGGTATTAATTTTGTGGTGTCGATCCAGACTCGGGGATTTTAGACGAGCTGCAGCTGCCCTAATTCATTCTTGATTGGTTTTATCCAAAACCTAACAGAGGAAAAGTGTGTATTCTGACAGATCCACTGATGGATACTTTGGACACAGTGACTGTGGGAGGCTATGGTCACGTGTTAAAAGAGAAACATTAAGGTAACTTATATGTCATCAGCAAATCTCAGCAAATTGGGACCGTGTATAATTTGAATAAAATCAGTCCAACAATAATACCCTGAGGAACTCCATGTGTAATCTTTGTTTGCTCAGATTTATAAATATAAATAACAGTAACTTTAGTAGCAGTAGGAATAATTGCTGATTTTCTGTACCAGGAACAATTAAATGATGTTATACATTTTTGATTTCAATATTTGCGTGAAGAACATGGTACCGTAGCATTTCTACTGGCCTACACCTAATTGTGAAGGGATGGATATACATGGGTAGGTGCAATATGTATTCAGTCATGATTTATATAAATATATATATTTTAAACAGGCCAGAGGAAAGTTTAACTCAGGAGACAGAGTTTGACCCTTCAGCCGTCATCTTGCCTCCTCCTGACATGTACGCAGACTCAGACTCTATGCTGGATTCGTCGCTGTACAGCGAGGTGAGGATAAATCATACAGACTCTCAACATCTACCCGCCTTCCTGATATGTTGAAACAATGTTTCTTTCATGTTTCTACCAGCCAATCAGAAATCTCCCACGTTGACCAGGATCTTCCTACCGTGGCAAGCTGCAGCCATGTGATCCTTTGCCAAAAATCTGCATCTTCCTGACTTCAATATTTATCTGAGAACTGCAAACATGGATCAATACACTGAGGAGTGAAGGAACGTCTAAGCAAATGGATATGTTTCTGCTGTTCCTTGACGACGTCTGTGTGAGGATTCTTTACGATGGACCTAGATGAAGTCTCCTTTTCTCGAGAGAGGACATAAAAGCAACATTAAAAAACTTTACAGACCGACACAGACTGGACAATACCAGAAAAGTACAACTAGTGGTGAAGTAAAGGATTAATTAAACTGCAGTTTTTCTACTTTCCTATGCAAACTAAGGGAAGTCCTGCAATCAACTTTTCTTCAGATTAACCGTCAATCCAAAGTTGGATCGCAGCTCAGATAACCCGACAAGAGCCTGAATCTTTGTCCTCGTCTGCATGAAGCGTCAAGAAGAGTAGGATCATTCTTATCTATTGAAGTCTCAGGGTTTGCTGCAAGGGACTGAATATTTGAAATGAGCTAAGTCATAAATAACCACCTTCTGTTTTCTCCAACTGCACCAACACAATTTAATAGTTTCCACAGAATTATCCGGAACTGGTCAGTTTAATTTCCAAGTGTTTGCGTCACTGTTTTTTTTTTTTTTGTTAACTTTACAGGGATCTTTTTCTACTTTTTGTTAAAATTTCAGATCACCACTTTAGCTTGTTTAAGAGTATGTATCTATTGTTGCTGTGATATTTAAATGATCTCTGATGCAGAAAAGGATAGTTTTTTGAAGAGAGATTCAATGAAGTTATCAGTAACATTTCCCTTACCCGTAGTAGGAAGATGAACGTAGCGCTGGAAGGTTGCCTGTTTTAGATTGCAAACATTTGCTAAATCTGGGCTATTAGCTTCCACATTTCCATGGACTTATTCACTACTCACTGCAAAATGACATCTTTCCAACAAAAGTGAAGGAGAAATTGCTGATAACTTCACTGCCAGGTTTACTGTCTTACATTATATGAGATCTAAGGACTGTGATGTTTAAATGTGTAACTTCAGAACGGCGTTGGCGTTTCCACAGGTCTAACTTTTGGACAAAAACATCAACATCCAGCTTTCTTGTCTATAATTTAACGGTTCTGCAGGTGTCCGTGCCTCTGATGCGTCCTCATAAACCAAAATAAAAACTTAAATGTGTGTGTAAAAGCTCGGCAGTGGAAAGACACTCGATAACGACGTCGCTGTTTTTGCATGTTTATTTTTATTTTAATAAATACTCCTTAAAGTGCAAGTCATAACAGTAATATCATGCAGTGCATAACAAGGTCCAAACCCCAATCTTAGACACAAAGATGGAGAAAGACAAGCACACACACACACACGCACACACACACAGACAGAGGAAAACACCTTTGTACAAGATAACAGTAAGTAATGTGCACACACACACACACACACACACTAACAACATAGACGGGGTTGTTTAAGGTCACCGTTTAACTACAGCTAAACAGAGAGGACAGCTTTGCAGTGGAAAACTCTCCCTTTGGTAAAAATCTGTATTTCATGAGGCCTGCTGGCTCGTTGCTGAGGATTCATGAGTAACACGCCACTGCAGCTGTTAAGGTAGAGAGCTACACCTGTTGGTAAATACTGGTTATACGAGAACAGTTTGTGTACACCCGACCCATCTCTTCTGTAGAACCCTCATAGATTTCGTGCACCATCTTTTCTTCGGGCAGCAGTACGGCAGGCCAATGCATATTTATAGACATAATGTGTGTTGTGAGGAGAGTCTGGGTGATACAGCCGCATGTATGTTGCAGGTATGCAAGTAATAAAGGGTTTCAGCAGAGGATTAAAAAGTACAGCTTGCACTGTTTTCAAAGAAAATTGCTTCAGAAAGTCTTCATTCCCTTTAAAACTCAAAGCGGACGGACTTTAGAGCCAGTCCTGAGGTCCAGACTCAAACCCTTCAACGTCACGTAGACGAGTGTTGGGTGGTAACATGTCAGTTGTTCCAGCAGTGGTAGATTTAGCGACAGGGGATGTGGCTCTCCACCCAGGGTGGCAGGCTAACGGTGTGGTGTGTGTTTTTCCCCACAAAAAATGGGGGAAAAAAGTCAATGAGTTGCAGCCTGGATGATTTTTATCCAGCTTTTGTATATGTAGCTAATGACGATGGAGATTCAGATAGGGGAAACTTTTACTGGTTTTGATGATTTCCAGGTAAATGGTTAAAATAGGCTTACGGTAGCCTGATCAAATAATTCTGCTTAGTTACATTACACTGTAAAGATCCACCGCCGTGTGCCAATATTTCCTTTTTAAGGTTTAATGTTTCTCCTGGGATGTACAATATTTTGAAGTCGGAGATCATCGCAATGTAAAACAGCCTCAGGTGATTAAAAAAGTGGTTTAAAGCTCAATTTAAAGAAGCACCTTTCAAACTAAGTACAGCTCCGCCGCTCCGACGGCTCTGAGAATCCAAACCACTGGCTAAAGTCAAAAAAAGTTCTAAGAAAGAACAAACAACTTGGTCGACACAAACGCATTCAGCGATAAATGCGTGTCATAGTTTAACCAAAAAACGACAATCCTAGAAAGTGACCAATGCTTTATAGAAGAACTGATTAGTCGTGTAATAAGTTACTTTTAAATGAATAAGATGTACCCAAACCAGCAGAAATCTACATCCTCTGAAGGTTCAAAATGGGTTTTTACACAACGAGAACCTGAACAGGCCACATTCAGTCATGGCTTTACACATGACCTGACACAAACGCACACAAGAAAGATAAAGTGTTAAAACAATAAAGTTACTAAACAAATACAGTAACACAATGTAACCTTCACTCATAGTGCCAGTAAGAAGTTTACATTCCCATGATAAGTATAATCATTTTAATGATGTTCACTCATCAGCAGTTCTTTTTCCAGGATAGATTTACTTTACAGCAGCCGTCTGGAAACTCAATGCATTTTAAAACAAGAATTTTGAATTTTTAAAAAATGGTAACTTTGACCCGGTTTGGATTAGATATAACACAACAAATGTGTTGCATCCATATCAGTCCAAACAAACAAAAGTGTCACTAAAAGCATTAAAGTCAAATGAAATTCATGCTGATGACAGCTGAATGTAAACCTCTGACTGGCACTGCAGCTTTATCTGATAAGCTGTTCTTCATTTCTGCCTCTCTGACCTGCAGCCAATCACAAATTTACAAGATCTAGGTGACGTTGATGGATATCAAAAAGGTATTTTTTAAAGCTTCTCAGAGTGAAATCCCTCAGCTTCACTGCAAACAGCAGAACAATCTACCATTCCCATCAGAAACAATGAGGTTTAAGTGAGTTTCCACTTCACATTCGCTCTCTGCATTAATCGGAAAACTGGCATGTGTTAATGTGACGGGGAACATTTATCTAGAGCGTCAAAGGGATTAACGAAGTTGTAGTGTTCGCGGACGCAGATCTGAAAGAATCCATTCGGTAACATCTGTGAGCCCCCCTGCAGTGTGGAGCAGTGAACTGCTGAGCCCGGTGAAAAGGAGTGAAGGTTGCAGACGGAACAGTCCAGAGGAACCAAACGGGGCAGACAGCAGCTCAGATGGCAACAGTACACAATAACATCGAGGTTGAATGGTTCTGACTCCAGCATCTCTGACCTTCCAGGCTTTAAATGTAAAACACATGACGACCAACTCTCCCTCTGACATCAAGCTTTCACATAAGCATTGCGTTGCATTCTTTAAGGCATCTGTGGGGAGGTTTCTGTGGCTTCTGCTCTCCTGCGGCAGTAACGCACCACCTCACATGACACACACACACACACACATGCAGAGTTGCTAATCTCCAGATTGACCGCCTCACTTCGATTCAAGTGTTTTAGTCACTGCTTGAAAAGTTAGCGTGAAGATGTTTGTAACCCTGAAGCGTTCCAGAGCCACATCTGTTGTTATTCAGCTCAGCGCCGACTTCCTGATGTCACGGGCCTCCGTGTTTTTCTAAAATGAAATTCTGTTCAGGCAGCTTGCTTTGTCAGAGCGTTTGCGCGTGCTGAGCGTCGGGTGAAATGACACAGGTGTGTGACGCGGTGAAATAGCGTGTGTGTGTGTGTGTGTGTGCGGCGCGGGGCAGTTTCAAGCAGAAAAATGAATGTAGCGTCCAACTGTCTGTCGTGCTTCGTTAAATTATTCAAAAACTCGTTCAGTGGAGATGTTTCGAATAAAACTAGTGTTTTAAAAAAGAAAATCTAAAAATAAATATGAATCTGATATCTAAATAATATTCTTTTTGGTATATATATTTCAATCTACAATAAAATATAAATATACATGGATAACAAAAAGCTTCTGCACTAGCATTATAAAACTTGAAATCTATGAAGTAATGTTCCTCCAGACACAGCTGCAACAGCGATCGGTAAGACAAGCGGCAGAACTGACCTCGGATCAGCGTCTGAGGCCAACTCAGCAGGATATCCGGTCGTTACATGTTGACGCAGCTGATAAAGGACTGAGGGGGATTTGTGACGGTAAACTCGACCTTTGCCGACTCTGATGGGATTCTGACCTCTCCCTTATTTTTTTTTTTTTACATTTTTTTTATTCTCTGGCTTCCACAAGTTCATTGATGCGTCTCAGATTTTGCAGCTATTAGCCCTAAAACATCCCCCGCCCCCTCCCACTGACTTCCGGGTTAACAAGGCAGTTTGAGATTTCGCAGGTTGTCAGCGAGCCAGCGTGGTGATGAGACTGGCGCACATTTCAAAGAAGTCCATGGTGTGAGAGCCCTGACGCGCGGCGAGCAGGGGGGAGCTGCCGGACAGCGAGCCCGGCAGGGAGGAGCTGAGCTGGGGCAGGTCGATGGCGGGGCTGGCCGAGTCGATGCTCAGTCGGGGTCTGTGGAGGCCGGCGGTGGAGCCCGACCGCTGAGGGGTGGACGACCCAGATTTAAAGCCGACCGCCTCCATGATGTCGTCTGTGGGTAACGTCACGGCAGATCGACAAGGCAGCAGCGTTAGGTAGCGGATCATTGAATTCCTATGAAACAAGCCTCAAAGTGTGTCGCTAACTTTGCATCACAGGGCTGAGCTAAAAGAGGAAGCACCTTGAATGGGTATTTCTGACTACATGTTCTCACTTTATCTAATATATACAGTCCAGATGGTTTTTTTTGTGGTTTTTTTTAAAAAGGCTCATTTATGTATAAACAACCTCTTCTGACAAAATATTACTAAAACCCTGATAGTTGGTTTAATAAAGACAAGTCAAAGCATGATATTCTCTTGTGATGAACAAAAAAAAAAAAAAGCTGCAAATAAATATGAATGTGAACCACTTTTTATCTAACTTCCACATTTAGAGCAGAGTTTCAAGAGGGGCAAAATGAAAAATAAATTCCCAAAGCTCAGTTAGAGAACTTCAACACAGAGCAATATCATCAAGTCTCAGTAACAACCATAGATGCAATCTATTCAAAAGTTTAAAAAAATTGTCTGTAAATTTAGCATTTTGAGCAGAAATATGTTCGCCACTCACCATCGATGCTCTTGAAGTCGAGGAGGTAGGATCTGTTGTCAACTTGGTAGAGCTGCAGGCTCATTTTCACCAGATTTCCCGTTACTGGATTCTTCCGGCGGACACGCAGATGATACGGGTTCACCACCTGCCAAACGGTAACCAAACGTAGACCTGCCCGTTTACTTTACGACCTTAAAAAAAAACAAAAAAAAAAAAAAACACTGTTACCTTCCAGTCAAAGTTGAGTTGTTTCATGGCTCTGTACACCTCAGCCATGATGTCGTACGGTCTGCTCTGACTCCTGATCCCCAGGTGCCATTTGGCTTTCTTCACAGCGAGCTGTTTGGGCCGGGTTGTGTTCAGAGCATCCAGAGGACAACGGGATTTGGGGCTGTCGGCCAGAAGCGGGGGCATCCTCTCTGGGTGGGGTTTGACACCGGGGGGCAGCGGCATGCCTTCTTCTATGAAGGAGCCCTGCGGAGGACTGGAGGCCAGGTAGAACTCGCTGGCCTGGGTCATGATGCGTCGGTTATCTATGATGAGGTGATAAGCTACTGCTAACTGATCCTACAAAACACAGAGGTGGAATTGGAAGAGAAATGTTTAACCTTTTTTTTTTGAAAATCAGTTTCAATTTATAGAATCGTGAAAGTTTCTAAATAATACATTGCACACGTTAGATATTTTCTGGTGTGAGGGAAGAGGATGCAGAGGATAGGACTAAATGATCGTCAGATGATTTGCTGTTTCGACCCATGAAGAAGAAGCTGCTGCGTATTTTCTGACATGGCTCTGGGTACCTGTGGATCTCCGCTGTAGAGGCTGGACACCACTTCAGACTCGGTGCATTCAAACTTCTCGCACACTTCCCTGACAGCCTCTTCGTCCAGCACGGTGGCATCGTACGACGGGTCCTCTGGGAACAGGTAGCCCGGCAGGTCCTTCTTAAACCACTCGTGTTCCCTGACGGAACAAGGAAAGGCCACATGCAAAAGTAATAATTAATGTACAAGAGCTGCAAAAAAATAAAAAATGTTTGGTGTAGGAATTTTCAAGTGACAAGATTCTAAACAGTCATTTGGAGATGTTATGAGAGATGGAAGAGAGGCATGAGCTAAAATGTTTTCCAATCTACAGCTGAAGAGCAGAAGAGAGGACACACTAATAATAGCGCATTTAACTACCAAAGACGATTTTACCAGCGCTAAAAAGAGAGCATGTGTAACACAGAGGCCAGATTAATCTACAGCAGAAAACCTAAGCAATGCCTAAGAAAAGTTTTGGTTTCTTCAGATTAGAAAGAAAAGACGAGATGAGAGGAAAGATTAAAGTCTCCAGAAAAAGTGATTCGAGGTGTTAAGAGTTTTCATCCCCAAAGTAGAAAGTACCCGAGGCAGACGTGAATGCTTGATTGCCTCTCTTAGAGAGGTGTGTATTTTTATAGTGTTTGCAGACGTTTACCTAAAGGCACGTCATTACAACGTGTGAAAAGTGTTTTTTGTTTGGGTATTCACTTTTACTACCAGAAGGGAAGGGGCAACATTATATGCGACAGGTTTAAAGAGGTTCAAACATACACCGAGCCCGTCTGGTTCCCTACTGGGACCAAACCGGCTTTGCAGCAAATCCTCGGGGCTCAAAGCGGTTAAACAGCTGATTCATTTGGACTCGGAACACAGCGCTGACTCGCTACCTGATGTCTTTGATGGTGGCTCTCTTAAGTGGGTCCACCTGCAGCATGAGCATGAGCAGGGACGCCACAGACCGGTTCAGGTGCTCGGGGATGTAGAAGACGCCTCCTCTGATCTTCTTGAACAGCGTGGGGACGTGCTCGTCGTCAAAGGGCAGAGTGCCACACAGCAGCGCGTACAGGATCACGCCGCAGCTCCAGATGTCCACCTCTGGGCCCGCATACAGCCTGGAAGACACAAAGTTGTGTTTCCAGAGAGAAAATGCACACCACACTTCTCCAGATCTTTTGCTGTGAAAATATAAAAGTAACAATAGCAATTTCCTTCCTCTTCACAACGAATTTGACTGATAAAATCGCAGTAAAATACACTTAGTCTGTAATGTGACAATACGAAGGTAACTGTGAAATTAAGCTTAAAATGGCTCAGGATTAGACATAAAAACGTAATATCTTGCTATGAAACAAGCCACTCTGTAAGGTTGGACTGGTCCATTATTCACTGGTCAGTTTACAATAGTCTGGGAAAGTACTGGGCCACTCCTCAATTTTTTGTCTTTCATTTTGACAAAAATAACATTGTTTCAAAGAGGTCTCAAAGAACCAAATCTTAATAGCTTTGAAATACTTTTCAATTTGTATTTTTCTCACAACAATGAGCGCCCCCCCCCCCCATTTCTGATTCTTCAAAACAACCCAACATTTTTTATATTGGACAACAAGGCACCTAGTGACAGAAATAAAAGCAGGAAATTGATTTTTTTTTTTTTTTTGGTAAGGGTCTAATATCAGGCTTGACAATCATCAAAAACTCTGACAATTCAGTATAAGAATAACTTGGACCTAGATAAGTGATAATTGTTTTATTGTGATCCAGAAGGGAACAAAAGGCAGCCAACACCAAAAGCAAACCTATTGGCTTCTCCTTTAGCAGGCAAGAATCCTAGAGGTTTGCGGATTTACATACAAGTCACTGCTGCTGCTTATTTTGTCTATTTTTCAGGCAAAAATAGACAAAATGTTTGCCTGAAAAAAATTTTCAGGCAAAAAAATGAAAATTTTTTGGGGAGACTAAGGTGTTTCCTGAAAGCCAAATACCCATTAGCATCCATCTGAATTACAAATCTAAGCACACACCTTCCTGAGATGACCTCTGGAGCCGCGTAGTTGGGCGACCCACAGCTCGTTCGTAAGAACTCTCCGTCTGACATCATGTTTGAAAGTCCTGTAAACCAATCAGAAGGCAAGCACACGTTAACAACCGTCTTTTATCACTCTAACAGTAACAGGCAAGACCCAAAGAGCCCCCCGTGATCAAATTATTGCCTTTAATCGTTCGATACGGACAGGCTAAATTGAATATTGCCATGCAGCGAGGGCAGAGTCACACACTGTGGACACTGTGAGATCTTTATCCTCCTTCACCCGCCAAGAGCCTAAGCTCTAAACACAAAGCTCCTCTAATTGGATGAGCCTCTCTCTGACTAACGCAGCCTGTGCCAAACACCAAACATCAGACACGGTGCGATTTGCTGACCTTCACTTTATCTGTCCCTGAGCACTCCCTCTCTCTCTGCTCACCAGAGTCTTTTAGCTCGGAGCCAAAACACTTCTCTCCCGCTGTAACCCTCAAACCCCCCGCCGACTCCTTCCCTATCAGATGACACTGGGCCTCAAGGCGTCCTGCCAGACTTGATATGAGACCTGGCCGTTGCTAAGGGACGTCTGGCTGCGCACGAGGACCCTCGCCTGTTTCAGAAAATATTTTCCTTCTTTCTTGGTCATATTGCATCAGCCATTCTGTCTTTAACCGGAAAAATGAATTCTCCGACAGGACTCCGACGACGTCCTCATTCGTATTTGAATGACTCGGCGCAAAACTACAGTAACGCAACTCAAGCTTAATCAAAGTTTTACTTAGTAACTCTGATGTGTATTCTTCCTCTAAACCGTTATGGAAGAGGGGTGTCCAAACGTTTGGTCACATAGGTCAAAATCGTTAAGGGCCAAAAAAATTTACATACTCAACAATAAACTAACTATGCAACACTTTAATTAAACAAACAAAGTAGTCAGATTTGTTGTTGGAAAGAGAAGTGTAAATTATAGATATTTTTTCATTGGTATGCAGGTATAAGGCATACCTGCAAAAACCTAAGGGTTTTGCAGGTATTTCTTATAAAAAGAAGTTTTAGCAAATTTTCTAGATTTCTAGTTTAAAAAACTAGAACAAAATGTAGTCATTTCTGAGCTGTAACATCAAGATTTCTTTGTGAATGCTTGCTTTAGCAAAGTTTAATAAATGAATTTAAAAAAGACTTGAGGACAGCAAAGTCAAGTTTTGAGTAAAAGTCGGTAGATAGATGTGGTTCTTACAAGAAAATGCAAAAAATGTGGTTATTTAAAGAAATAATTGGTGTTCTTGCTAACTTTTTCTATCGTAAAAAAATTTGACTTTGTCTGTGATAACTTTGCCCTAACTAAAAATACAACATTTGTATGTACATCAAACACCAGGGTGCCCTTTGGACGCCCCTGCTTTATGGTATATTTCTATGGGATCTTACCGAAGTCGGCAATCTTGGCGTTCTTGTTGGCGTCAAGCAGGACGTTCTCGGGTTTGAGGTCTCTGTGGACCACCATGTGCCTGTGACAGTAGTCCACAGCCGAGATGATCTGCTGGAAAAGACGGCGAGCTTCCGAGTCCTCCACCTGAGGGACACGGCGGGAATTAAAATGCATCAGACGACGTGAGGCGATTCAGCTTGATTTTCTGTTTTTCTTTTCATCTAAGGTCCTATGTTAGACGTGAGAACTGAGGAAATATCTCCACATTCTTTCGGTAACAAATTCTTGTCTGATCTTGCGGCTGTATTCCAAGATTTATTCGTAAACAGACTGAAAGTCTTGCCATGCAAATAGTTAAAGCTGCATTAGTTGCTTGCTGGCCACCGGGGGGCAGCGCATTAGATGTGATAAACATCAACATGACATCACCTTACTATTCTGAGAAAAGTGAAAAAATGCATTTTTGTTAGAAATCAACAAGAAAATTGTTGATTTTTAACAGACTGATCAAAATCAGTCTGTTTTTCCCTCATCAACTCTCGTTATGCTCAAATACTCAATCTACTTTTAGGACAAGTCCTAACAGAATTATGGAGTGAATCTAAAAGTAAAAACATACTTCAATTTACAAGTACATACAAAAACCATATTTTAAAATAAATATATTTCTAAAGAGTAGTTGTTTATCCTGGACCTAATTGCTCTGCAAAGAATATAACTATTGTATTTAAAATGTTTTTGATAGATATGAGTCACAGAAGAGGTTTTAAAAGCCATTGTAGAACATAAACTGATAGTTAATCACCTCCTCTCTGCACATAGTCAATATTTTCAAAAACTCAAAAAAATTCAGGTAAAAGAGCAACAGGGAGCTAAATTAAATGCTAATGGAATATATTTAAATAAAACATATTTTCCTGAAATTTCTAAATATACAACAGGAATTATGTTGCATCTATATGAGCTGAGTTTGAAGATGCAGACTTAGTACAAAAACTGGAGTCCAGTTTATGAAAGTCATTGACTTATTCTTCTTAAGTATTTTTAGGTAAAGTTAACAGAACTGTTGTAAACAATTTAACCCACTTCAGGAATCTCCTTCATAATTTAACCTAGTGATTATGAATATTAATCTATACGTTAGAATTGACAGAAAATAATGTTTTACCCTTCCGTTTTTGCAGATGTAGTCAAACAGCTCGCCTCCAGACACATACTCCATGACCATGAAGAAATCTGTTGGTGTACTTATTACCTGGTAGCTGGAACAAGAACACAATGTGTTAAAATGAGCTCACTCCAATCTGAATCACATCTTTGCCTCTAAACTCTGTTTATAAGTGGAGAATTTGTGCCCAACTTGACTGAGAACACAAAATATCAGCAAAGCCTCGACTGGTGCAGGTAATCTTTTCATAAAGGTCGGGTTTATTGCACCGCAAGCTCAACCTCACAAATTGCTGCTTTCGGGAGATTCTGCACTTCATCACAATCTACTTCACTCCTGTTAGTGGAGCGCTACAGGCCCAGTACTGTGGGGGGTAATAAATCCAAACTAAATCTCAATCCTTCCCCCTCTATGTAAACATGCAAAGCTTTTCAAAAACCACTGAAGTCAAGTTGATAAAATCACTGTGATCCCAACATCTGGAACGTGTTGGGTCGTCCACCTCGCTTTGGTCTGCTTGTTGTTGCGTAGAAGATGCTGGAAATACACGCCTCTGTTTAAGTCGCACAGCTTTGCTCGGAAAAGACCTGAGCACTCACATATCTGTCACCACCAAAGAGCGTGAAAGTGTGGACTAAACCCGACCCTCACCTTAAAGTAACAAGGAAATTGTTGGGTGATTAAAAAAAAAAAAACCTGAATGGTTTCTAAGTGAGAATTTCAAGAAACCTCTATCATCTTAAGCAGAGCTTTAAAGAGAAAAAGGGGAGCAGATTACTTCATGTAGGCCCACGCATGGGGGCTTGTGTGTGTGTACGAAAGAGGTGATGTTATTGTCTTTGTGTGTTCTGACTCGTGGGAACCCTGTAGGCCATACAGAACCGCGATAGTAAACATGCAGGAACAAGGAAGCCCTGCCACCACAAACAGGCAACACAACATAACACAACACCCGCATTAAACGCAGCCGGTTTATAGAGCGCTGACAAGTTTGAAGCCAGCTGCTTGTCAGCCTGAGGAGTGTGTTGTTGCCACTCTCCACTTACAGCTTGATGATGTGGGGGTGTCTGAACAGTTTGAGGTTCTGGATCTCCCGCTTGATTTTCCCCACAACATCGAGACTGCGGATCTTCTGTCTGTTGAGGATCTTCACGGCGACTTTGTGGCCCGTTAATTGATGTTGTCCGACTGCAACAGCAAAAACACAAACAGGGCGTCGGTTTCATAAATATGTGGAGAATTAAGCGCAGAGTTTGGGCAAAACAACACGACATAATTTGTGAAACTGCAACTGTGTAAACATTTTGGTTCTCAATGGCACTGTTCATGTGGGGAATAGGCTCACCGCTCAGGGCGGCATCAATTCAGGAGTGGCACAAACAAAAATATATAAAATGGGTTGAAACCTGCATTCTATTTCTTTAAAACAGAATGTACTTTTTTCTCCTTTTTTTGCATAATGAATATTCATACAAGATTAGATATCGGTATACAAAAAACTAGTTCAACCTTCTTTGAATAATTTAAAATAATAAAGACCTGAATGCTGACTGCAGGAAAAAAAAAGATGAGGGAGACATCAGCGATAGATTAAATCCAATCACATCTAATTTTACCTGCGTAGAAAAGCAGACTGGTTTTATTTTTAAAAAATAGCCAGTGGGACTTAAAGTTGTTTCAATTAAAAGGGTAAGTAATTCACCTAAGTTTAGGCAAATGTTTTTGTTTTTCCCAAGATGTAGAAAGCTCTAGAAATCCATTCTTCTATGACTTCATATTTCAGTTGAGTAAAGATAACATAAATTTAGCAGACTAAAACTAAAATTACAAGACAATTAAATTGTGAATAAAATCATACTATACAATACAATAACTACAGGAAGGCTTCAGTGATTTCCATGCATTTTGGCTCATATTTTTCCTGTCTTTGTTGAGGGGTGTCAGACTTTTCTGTCAGAAACTGTGAATTGATATTATTGCAACTGTCAACGTTTTATTTTTATGTTTTATTTATTCAATTTTAGCTGCCGACGCTTACCTATAAAGATGAAACAAATAATACATTCATAAAACATTAAATGCAATGAAGTTTTTTTTATGATTTACCTGCTGTTATAAATGGTATAAATAGCAGCTGAAGGTGAGTTAGCTTAAAACATAACTTAAGCTACACTCTCAGCAAACAGGCAGGGTGAACGAGCTCACAAGGTCATTGTGAGAGCACCAAAACTAGCTAAGAGAAGATAAATCCCCAGCAGTGTGCTTTTGAAGCACAACTAAGCGTACGTGAATGGCTTTCTTGCCTTGACAATAAAAGCTAACCCGGTGTAACCATACTGAACTACCACCCGGTGCACGGCTACCTTAAAATCCGTTAACTACATTTTTATTCTTAGGACCAAACTGAACGGGTCATGCGTCCTTCATAGTCCTGATTAAAAATCCCACCGCCACACAAAGGTTCCTTTTTTTTTTTAACACAACAATGTAAAGGTGTGAATATTTGGTTTTGACTCTCTGCTCCCCTTCGTGTTATTACACCTGCCACAGCTGATAACTGTGGTTACCGAGAGGTTCTTCGGTGAAAGAATTTGACTTTGAAGCGGTCGAATTCGCAGGCGACCTCTACGCAAAAATCCAGTCCGAGACCGCCTCTAAACGCGTAGAGTTACGCTGACTGCCTACTGTCAAGTTCAACACGGTACGCTATGACAGGAGGCAGGGCCACTAACATTAACTACTCCGACTGACAGCCGCAAATGCACACATTTATGTTTGACGTGACACATGACTTAAAACATGACTTAACTCTTTACTTTCCCGAACGTCCCCACTCCGAGCGTGTCGCCGAGGATGTAATGGCCGATCTTTACCCTGCCTTCGTGTTTCTGTTGTTGCCGCTCTGCCATCTTCTCCGTTACCGACGGCTGGGCTCGCTCGCGCGGTGCGCTGCGGTGGGGTGGGTGTGCTGCTTGTCTGCTGTCTGTGGGGCAGCACGGAGGGGCGGGGACAATTCTGACTCTTCTCACCGCGAGGAATCACCGACGACTTGGAACCGCTGCTGCTTAGATGAATGGAAACGCTACAAACAAGCATCCATCCCCAAGCAAAAAATAGTGCCATCCATTCCCTCCAGAAGTCGTCTCATTTGATTCAAATTTCAATACAGCTGTTCCGTGAAAACTTTATAATCAAAACGAACACATCCTTATTGGAACATGGTGGTGGCAGCATTATGCTATACTATGGGGACGTTTTTGTTCAACAGGGACATGGAAGATGTCCCAAAAAAAAAAAAAGAAACTGCAAAAATCAAAAGAGGAGGAACCAATTTAGTCAGAGTTCACGTGCTGACAAAGTCTGGACTAAATGACTTGTCAACTTGTTAAAGTTATAAGAAAATATGTTTTTAGTTGTCTCTCTTAGACTTTATACTGTCTGAATTTATGAGTGTAAAACTCTTTCTGAAAGATTGCTTTGTCATCTGTTTTTGGCAGCTGGACCAGTAATGTAGTTTTTCTTTTTCTTTTTTGTTTTGTAAAAATGTAAATTTGTTAAGAGGCTTTTAACTTGATGGCTCTCCTGCCGGTCCAGTGATTAAAGGTCCAGACTCCATTCGGTCTAAGTGGTTCTTATGTAATGGTAAATGTCATTTGCATTTTTTTTTTTTTACTTTTTCCAGCATGCAATCTACATAAAAAATAATAAATACTGTGTGGCCCTAAAGGCCAGACTAAATGACAGACGCTAAAGTTTTACATTTAATCAATGAACTGTGTGCATGCATGATTATGTATGTAATGTTTTTATTAATAGTAGCCTATTTTAATTTTAGATTTTCCTACGTTATTTGTATTGAGGAGTCTGTTGTTTTGCCGATTAAGTGTGGGGTTTCATAAATTGGAGGTGACATTTTATAAGCTAACCGTACTGTGCATTCACATTTATATATTTCTTACAAAATGTATATAATTAAATGGTTGTACACTGAATGCAACGTCGTACAGTGATCATATTTATTATTTGGGTTCACAAAGTTGGCCAGTAAAACTGATTCTATTTTTTTTTTTAAATAACTGCAAAAAAAATGTCACCAGAGAATGTGAACTACTTACATTTTACCACTAGATGTCAGTGTTTGATCAATGTATTAACCTGGCTGCTGGAGGAGCTTAAACCAGGATTGGGACAGGAAGGTTATACTTATAACATCTATTAGGCTTATATAGATGTATTATATAGATGCATAGCCCGTATCTTGTATATATGTGCTATTTCAACTTAAATCCCGCATTTTCTTATGTCGCATTTTCTTATGTAATGTGAAAGATGAAGCTTATAGAAATAACTTATTTTATTTTATTTTTATTTTTTTTTAGCAACTCCATCACCTGTAGAGTCGCTATTTATCCACACTCTGGGCCTGGCAGATCCTGAGCGCGGTGCGCCTGGACAGGGGCCACGGGGGCCGCTGCTTCCCCTGTCCGATCAGAGCTCAGTCAGAAAGATATCCATGCAGGGGATGACGGCCCACCGCTAGTGGAGGGAAGAGGAGGAGGGCCGAGCCTTGAAGCTGCCGGGGGAACTTGAAGAGAGCAGGAGGAGGAGGAGGAGGAGGAGAGGAAGGATTGATATAACCAGAGCGGCTTTCGATGGGCAGCGCAATTTTCTCTCACTCCAAGAGTTTGAGCTGAGACCGATAGACGGGGAGCGGGCTTTCCATTCATTTCGGCCGCAGGCAACTTTTTCTTGCGCGGATCCGTTCAACTTTTATTTACGCTCATCTACTTCCACCCCCATTTTCGTCTTTTACGTTTTTTGTTTTTTTTCTTATTCTCTTACTTCTATAATCCACGACAAGCCGTCATTAACGAGAGACTCCGCGGTATCTCCGAGTGGGAAAGTTTAGAATTTAAAAGGACTCCACCAGATCCTGACATTTTTTTCCCCTCCTCTTCCTCCTCCAAGACCTGCAGCGCGCTGCGGGATTCCGAGCCGAAAACTGCGAGTTCTTCAATGCAACAGTACGTGTATGAGAAAGCGATGGCCCAAGAGACGAGGAACGGCGGAAGCTCTACGTTAAACAACAACAACGGCGTGGACAACACCAAGAAGAAGCTGCTCATAGCGCTCGACATCTTCTGCCTCCTGCTTGGTAAGTTTACATGAACTTTCCCTATCTCTGTTAAGAGTTTGCATTGACAGCGGCTCTCATGCAAAATAAGATGAAACACCTCCAAAAGTGGACAAGCAAAGCACGACCCCGCGCTTTCTGAAGGCGTTATCGTTTCCAAAGTTGTTGTTTTTGTTTTTTTGTTTTTTTGCCAGCCATCTGCAAGCGATAGACAAGTTATTAATCGTCAGCATCCCCTTATCATCCAGCTCCAACATGGCATGGCAAGCGAGGGAAGCCAATCACTAAACAGTCCACTGACACCTTTCTCTCTCTAAAGGATCAACACATATTATTTTATATATATATATCTCCAGAAAAGTGCAGTAACGCAATTAGAAAACATTGAGCTCATCCAGTCTGAAAGGGGGAAAAAAAAAAAACTGTCACTTTGTGTTCCTGGCAGGTGGAGAGTTTTTTGGGGGGGTTTCTCAGCGGAGACAGCTGCAGATGAAATGCCCTGTCATCGCCTAATATAGTGATCATTTCAAAGCATTCGGGCTGTACTCTGTGACTCCATCAGGTGCCTGCCAGCATGCCCTGGGGGGGTGGGGGGGGCAAAGATCAGAGATGCACCAGCCATTTGCCCTCTGATCGGTTCCGATTGGTCAAATCTGCTTCTAAACTAAGAAAACTTGGTTTTGAGTTCAGTGAAGATGACCTGCTTTGATGCAAAATTGAGGATAATCTTGTTATTCACTTGTCATTTGATCACTTTGAAACTCGGCCCATTTGTTTCTCTGTTAGGTGTCGCAGCCCTTAGACTTAAAAACATTCGGTCAAATCCAGTAAAGCTAAAAAAAAAAAACCAAACAGGAATCAGTACCGGTCAAGAAAAGCCGGATCGGTGAAACTCTAATACAAATGTTTTGCAGTCTCTTCTCACTTGCCCTCATTTACTGCCCTCAAAAATAGCCAGTCCACCCTCCTTACCCCTGTTTCCACCCCTCCCAGTCCATCTTCCACGGCTTGCCCCAGTTACCCTGTTCGTGTGAACTTTAACCCACAGAGGTGCCCCCCCAGGCTAGGGACGTCCTAACTCAGAGATGAGGGATGTCGATGGAAAAAGCCTGACCACCATCGGTATCGATTTACAGCTGACAAACTGTCCCAGAACGAGAGGCGAGGCCGGTGGTGTGAGCTTGTTTGTGACGTCCAGTTTGTGCAGTCAGTCCCAACTTGGTATTCAGTGGGTGTCCTGTCCAGATTCTGGACTCGCTTGATGTGTGTGTGTGTGTGTGTTTCTTTGATAGCTGCTTTGTCTTTGGCTGCTGTCACTGTTGCCCGGTCCTTTTAGTCTTCAGTCCCCTTCGTCTCCCCCTCATTTCTTTTCTCCCCTTTTTCTTTTTTCTTTTGGAGGGGATTATAGGAGTTGAGCTTAACTTCTCCACATTCTCTCCCAGAAACCATGCGAATCTCTGCCCAGCTGCTCCCCCCCCCCACCACCCTGCGAATCACTTTCCTTCTCCCTCTCTGTCCAGGGGAATAATTTCTTGAGCAGGTGCTGGGGCCGAGGAATGCCTCTCTGACCTGCCGTATGACTGAGTGGGTTTCAGAGGAAGCAGGCGACAGCGCCACCAGATCAGAGAATTTGACTTTGCTGCACAGAAGCAACTTTTTGTTTTATTTTTTTACTGCCCGGGCTGCTACAAATGGTGCACATTAACTCCATGTTCCCCTCTGAAACACTCCAGAGTGACAGCGGATCTGCCAAACAGATGCAGAGTTTTCCATTTACATCGGCTTGCCTGTTAAAGAACCCCCAGACAGAGATACGGCGTTTCATCTGCGCTCGTATAAATGTGGAAGAGCTTCGAGCGCATGTGGAGCGAATTTCCTGCACAAAACCAACTTCCTTTACTGGTTCGTCTAAAGTCAAACACACACGCACATGCACGCACGCACACAACTGTGCGCCTGTAAACACACGCTCATGTAAACACACAATTGCAAATGGGCGCACAAATTCGCCTTTGTCATGCTAAACACAAGTCTGGCTCTCGGGTGATTATTGGTTGGCCCACTTTAGCGGTTTAGGGGGTAGGTGGGTGTAGGGGCCGGAGGGGAGGGGGCAAAAGAGAACAGAAGGGAGGGTGGGGGTTATCAGGCGCTCTGAATGAGGAGTGAGGAATGCGGGTGTGCAGGGGGCTCAGATGCAGGCCTGGTGTTGTTGAGCAGCTTTTGTCCACTGCATATCAGAAAAAGGTTGCATTCTTCTCGTGTGCATTAATGTACCATTAGCTTTAATTAGTCAACACCAAACCAGCTGCGGTCCACACATGCTAAGTGTGGGTAGTGTCATCTTTCAGCCAACCTGACCGTCACATAACCTCAGGCTCCGCTAATGAGTCTGTTTCGCATACATAACAAGTCTGGTCGTCTGTAATACACAAGGGAAATATTGATCAAGACGACTTCACTTGTGGTGCTGTGAATAAAGAAAATTCAGACCATCAAACAACTTTTAATATCAAACTAAGATAACTTGAGTACATGCAATAATGACTTTCAATTCTAATGGGCAAAGGCTATCCACATCAAACTGGCTTGCTGCCCTTGTTAAATCGTTAATTAGTGGAAATTAACATTTTTTTTTTCAGCTGAGTTCAACTTTGGTTGCCACATCCCAGACTTAATCACTGCCAGGCCTGTATAAAGTAGTCATTTAAACAGAACCTGCCTGACAACATTAAGGAGGCCAAGGCGCCCCAATCTAAAAGCATGTACGACAGATGGGAAGCAAATCCACTGACATTTACTAGACTAGGAGAAGGTTTCAGAGTCACTTTTAAGGGCTTTTGGGCTCCAGAGAACCACAGCGAGAGTCCTTATCCACAAACGTGGAAAACACCGACCGGTGAGGAACCATCCCTGAAGTGACCGTCGTACCAAAACTGCTCCGACACACCTCAAGCGATTGATCCCGGAGGTCACCGAAACTTTTTAAAGTTTTGGATTTTGTTGCATCTTATCATAAACCGGCATGGCGTTTTCAGAAAAAGAACAGTATATTGACAATATAACGTAGTGGTGGTGGTGGTGGTGTGGTGGTCTGGGTCTACCCTAGACAAATGGGTGTAACTAAAGCAATCTCAGCCAAAAACGTGGACTGACCAAGTCAAAGCCAAAGCTTGAACTTGATCGAATTAACATGGACTGACCTTAAACAGATGGGAGGTGTTGAGGGAAAACCTCCCAGTGTGACTGAATTAAAACAATTCGGTGAAACTTTTCTCACAGTTGTGTAGAAAAACTATTTGCCTTTTATAATAAATGCATGACGACACAACCATCTATCCAGTACAGTGGGGATTTACTGGTTTAGGTGGCTTTTTCCCTTGATAAATAATTTGAAAATTGCATTTTATATTTACTCAGCTTATCTTCGTCTTATTACAAAAAAAAAAGTGGATTCATAATGGCGCAATTGGTAGTTTTGTTGCTTTTTTTTTTATCAACAATGGATACATGGATGGATATTAAACATGTAAGTTTGACAACAACAACAACAACAAAGAAAAACAGAGAAAATCTGTTAGGGAGACAATACTTCGCCCCAGCACTGTAATTGAGGCTGAGATTACGTATGCAACGGGAAAACACGAAGCCAAATTCTCCTCAACACCCAGCTGCTGAAAACCAGAGTCACCGCTTATGATCCCCGGCAGCTGAGCCTGAGCTGTACGTGCTGATTTCACCCTGGCTCCGCTTCCAGCGCCTTACAGAGCGATCACCACGCGCTCGCGCTATAAATACTCAGACTGCCGAGTTTTGCTCTCTGGCGTTTTGGCGACGCGCTGTCCGCTGGAGCCTCCGGCGGCGGGCAGTTTCGCAACATGTTTATTGTGAAAACGCTCGGCGAAAGCGCGCGGCCACCCGAGCTCTCAGGAAGCCATGCTCTCTAAGTGTAGGCTGCACTTAAACTCTGATTAAGTTTTACACAATGCAAAGGAAAACACAAGTATTGTGTGGCTGCGCGTTTGCATGTGTGCAGACGTGGTTCTGCGTTCCAGGTCGTCTCCGACCATTTTGGATTGCCGCTCGGTCTTGCGGCTCGGATTTGAGGCTCTTTCTGTGTCTTAAAAATGCCACAAGCATTTTGAATCCATTATCCAAAGTTCTGTGATCTATAAAGCATTAAAGGGGGGAATCCACTTCAACACTGGGCCCTGAAGCACTAACCCTAAATCTCCACCTTTTACAGCAGTTAGTCACCGAATCCCGTCATTAAAGCTGGAGATTTAACCTGTAAAACCCCCTCCCCTCCCATGCAGGCCTTGGATGCTTTAAGTCAGAGCAAATGTTTTGCAGAATTTCTCAAATTCCTCTTTTGCCCAGAGACTTTTGCTGAGATATCTGGGAGAGTGAGTGAACCAGGGGACACAGGATGTGTGTGTGTGTGTGTGTGTGTGTGTGTGTGTGTGTGTGTGTGTGTGTGTGTGTGTGTCTTGGAGCTCAGGAAAGGGTGGGAAACGGAAAGGTAGTGTAGATCGGAGGAAGGTGTGGCTGTGAAATCAGATCCTGTCTTTTTTTCTTTTTCTCCTCTCACAATCTCTTTCCAGCCTCAGCTCCCCTCCCTCTGTCACTCCATCCTCATCTTAATTGCCAAGCGAAAGCCTTGAGTCATAAATAAGAAAGGGGGGCGGGGGGAGGGACAGGCAGAAGAACAATTTAGGTAAATGCATGTTTATGCTTTCCATTTTCATTTCACAAGCTCTAGAAAATAAGTCACATTTGAATTAGAGGATTGTGTGGCACTTCCTAGAAACCCAGCTTTCAGAGAGCAGGAGATAACTACTGTTTGCCAAGTGTCTACAAGCAAACTGTAATCAAACAGAAAGTGGGAGGTCCGTGCACACAAACCCAAATATAGGCTCCTATCCAAAACTGCTGACCTTAATCTAAGGGCAAATATGTTTACAGCTGCATGAGTGTGCAGGGACCAAAAAGAAGTTTTCTTGCTTAGATAGTGAATTCACAGA